CCTGACCGGGAATCGAACTGGCAACCTTCTGGTGCACGGGATGACACTCAACTGACTGAGCCACACCAGCCAGAGTGGGAAAACAATTTTAATTACCTTCCTCATTAACAACAAAAAAAAATTGGTTAATTCAAACCTTCATATGAAGATAGTGTTATTTTCTATAGAGTGTGATGGTCTTTACATTTGATTTATATTCCTACAACTGTGGTTATTTGTGTTGCAAGGTTGCAGCAGTTTTCAAAACTAGAGATCCTAAACCTTTTAAGAAAATTCTCGTAATTCCTTGAAATGTTTTATTGCAATGCTCATATTTACATTCTTACTTTGTTCTAACTTACCGATAAAGTCTGCTGCCTGAGTGGCAGCGGTTACTGTCCCCAACAGATTGGAGAGCTGATATTTGTGTAGATGACTCAGGGATTGGCAAGCTGGCCCACCACTGAGGGGCTGGGCAGTCCCCATGCAGAGCCCCTTCCCTTCTCTGGAGCCAGAACTGCCATGGCTGCTGCCTCTGCTTCTACTGCTGCCATCATCATCACCACTGCAATGTGGCCCAGGCGCCCGCCCAGCAGCGCCCTGAACTGCTCTGAGCATGTGCGGGCATGCTGGGGTACCTGCACTGCCCGAGCCCTCTGCACACATGCAGGCAGTGCCCCGCTGCTCGCAGGCAGTGCCTCCCGTTGTGTCCCGCTGCTCACATGCATGCTCCATGGTCCCACAGGACTTCACTTACCAAACACAAATTCAAAAATAATTATTGAGATTTTCCAAGGCAGCAACAGCATAGGATTAATTCAAGCACGGCGCCCTTCTGAGTGGGGCCCTGTGCAACGGCAGAGGTTGCATGCTCATGAAACTGGCCCTGTGGGTGGTCCTACAATCTATCAAGCATCAGGATTTGAGCTGTATATAAATAACATGAGGTGGTGGGGAAATGATGGCACTGATATATTCCTTCCATGATCTTAAATTGAGGCAATAGGTTTTTGAGAAATCTACCTTATCTTCATACGTAAGTGTGTGCTCCTTGAGAACAAAAAATCTTGTCTTCCATTACCTTGCATTTACCACAGAGCTTGCAAATAGTAGATGTTAAGTAAATCTGGTTGAATAGATAAATTGTTATTCTTCTGTTTTCAGAGGAGTAACGTGTCAACAGCTGGAAATAGGTAGGTGCTCTTTTAATATAAGGCACTGAACTGATTCAGTCAGTGAAAAAAAATCTGATCTGAGCATCTGATCCAGGGGGAGGAATATCGTAACCATTGTATTTCCTGTACACTCCACAAGAGTGCATGTGTGTAAACTTCCTGAGTTCGGTAGGAGTCTTTCTGCCTTTGCCTGCACGTACAGAGAATCTCATGATTGATTTCCATCCCCCCACTTTGTTTCCCAAGAGGACTTAATTCTTTCCTAGATCTAAGATTAAGATGGCATTATTCTTCACCAAGAGTGTGCAAAGATAACTTTATAAATATTGTTTAGACGAAACTATGAAAGACTGCTGACTAGGAAATCTAATCAGAATACACAGTATGCAAGTGGGAGATGATAAGGGTCTTTATAACAGAGCCTATAACACTTTCCTAAAAGCTGTTTCCTTTAGTAGGCAAATCAGGGTGCTATGATGCCATTAAGCACTTTCCTTGGGGGTCTTTCTTGATTCTTACTATATACAAGTTTGAATTTTATGGTAAAGGACACAGACCTTGTCAAGTCATGAAAATGAAAGGTAGGCCTGGATACTGCAAGGCAAGTTGAAGTGAGTGCTCAGTCTGTAGGTAGCCATGCCCTTTGTGAACTCTACTAGTCAGTTTTAGGGTCTACCTGTATCCAAAATGCCTTTTGATCTTGATGAGAAGTCTACACCCTATGAATAAGTAAAAATTATTAGTAGGCATGCCAAAAAACGGCATTCTCAGACCTTACTTATTCATTCCAACACACCCTCATAGTATCACACTCTTCTGCAACTAAATCGCCACACCCTGATAGACATTCCAGAGAATGCAATTCAGGAAATGCAAATAAAATTCATCTGAGTTCAGAGCCTATGTCCTTCATAACTCTTGCCATTTGTAACAGCATGGATGGAACTGGAGAGCATTATGCTAAGTGAAATTAGCCAGTCAGAGAAAGATAAATACCACATGATCTCACTCATTTGTGGAATATAGAGAATTACATAGACTGATGAACAGGGACAGATCCAAAAACAGAGAAACAGCGATCAGACTATCAATCCCCAGAGGGAAAGCAGGGGAGGGTGGGGGTAAGGGGAAGAGATCAACCAAAGGACTTGTATACAGGTATATAAGCCAAACCAATGGACATGGACAACAGGGGGATGGGAGCATGAGTGTGTGGGGGAAAGGGGGGGGAGGTTGGGGGTTAATGGGGGGATGAGGACACATTTGTAACACCTTAAGCAATTAAGAAATTTAAAAAAGAGCCTATGTCCTTCTTATATAAAACAACAAGAACAACACAATTTAACAAAGACAACCTGGAAAGTTGCTCTGAGAAGGGGAAATAGTAAAGCATATAAAACCATCATTATGGATAGGACTTATTCTATACATTCTGGAATTCTGGAATGGAAAAACAAAACTATTGAACAATGAAATAGGGAGTTTTATAAAAGATAAAAGATGTCTCTCCCATCTCTAAGTTTTTGAGTTTGGTTTCATGGAGCGCACTCATCTTCTAACAAATTTTACTTTCAGCATTGTAGACTCTGGAGTATGGGAGAGAAGAAAGGTATCCATTCCTATTTTGTGTCCCACACAAATTGCTGTAATCCTGAATCGCATGAAAATCCTGAACTCTAAAGTGTGCTTTAGTGGGTTGAACATACTGACTCCCTTATAACAAACAGAATATGGCCAAAGGATGAGATGTCACTTCCAAGATTAGGTTATGGAGAGACTGTGTCATGTGTCTTGCACACCCTTGCTTGCTTGCTAGGATGGAACTTGAGGACCATGATATGAGCTACTCCACGGAGAGATCCATTGTGATTCCAGGCACAAATAGTACAAGCAAGAAAAGAACAAAAGCCCTGACCGGTTTGGCTTAGCGGATAGAGCGTCGGCCTGTGGACTCAAGGGTCCCAGGTTCGATTCCGGTCAAGGGCATGTACCTTGGTTGCGGGCACATCCCCAGTGGGGATTGTGCAGGAGGCAGCTGATCGATGTTTCTCTCTCATTGATGTTTCTAACTCTCTATCCCTCTCCCTTCCTCTCTGTAAAAAAATCAATAAAATATATTTAAAAAATTAAAACAAAACAAAAAAACTTGCACTATAACACCATCTACTGGAAAACAAAAGAAAGTGCCCTACCTATCAAGTTGCTGCACTGTTGAGAGCAAAACAAGTATCTAAACAAGAAAAAAAAAAATCATTACCTCAAATGTGCAATCCATCAGATACCAGGAACAACCAAGGTCACTTGGAAGCACAGGAAGAAAACGAAAAGTCTCTAGCAACCAAAGTCCTGGAATATTGTGATTTAGATGACAGAGAATTCAAAATTGCAATTATGAAGAGGCTCAATGAGATCATAAGAGAACTCAGATGGGCAGCTCAAATAGCTCAGAAATTCAGTAAAAGAACAAAAGGATTACTTTACCAAGAGAGTGAAAATGTAAGAAATAATTAAATTCTAGAGTTGAAGAACTCATTAAATGAAATGAGATGAGAAATGCATTAGAGAGCACTGGAAATAGAGCAGACTAGATGTGAGAAGGAATTAGCGAGTTCTAAGAACGAAACCTAGAGGAAAAAGAGTTAAGAAAAAATAAGAAGTGAGTTAAGAAAAATAAAGGAAAGACCTCTACCGAGAGCTCTCTGAATCTATTAAAATCAGCAACATAAGGATGAGGGTATATCAGAAGGATAGAGGAAGGGGACCGGGAACCTATGAGAACTTCCCATACCCATGGAAAGACTGGACTTTAGAGCAAGCTAACTGAACACCTGATTTCAACTCAAAAAGACTTTCCCCAAGATACATTTTATTCAAACTCAAAAATTAATGACAAAGAATTCTCAAGGCAGCTGGTGGGAAAAATTGTAACCTACAAAGGAAGCCCTATTAGATCCTCATCAGATTTTTCACTATGAACATCACAAGCCAGGAGAGAGTGGAAGAAAATATTCAAAATATTAAAGGAGAGGAGCCATCAGCCATGGGTAATATACCCAGCAAAGTTACCCTTTAGATATGGAGGAGAAATAAAGGCTTTCCCAGACAAACAAAAGCTGAGAAAACTTACCACTCTAAGACCTGCACTATAAGAAATATTGGAAGGAGCTGATCTACCAGAAACAAAAAGACAAAAGTATATAAAACTTTGAGTACCATGACTGACAGACAGAAGCAGGAAATTGCAACTCTACTTCAGAATAGGTTTTAAATAATTATAAAGGTTAAAGGTGGGGAAATGCATTAAAAATAACTATAATTATAGCCCTGGTCAGTGTTGCTCAGTTGGGTGGGTGTCGTCTGTTCAATTCTTTATCAGGGCACATCACACAGTTGGGGGCTGGATCCCTGGGAGGAGGTATGCAGGTAGGAGTTATGCAGGTAGGAGGTATGCAGGTAGTAGGTATGTAGGAGGCAGCCAATGGATGTTTTGCTCTGATATCAACGTTTCTCTCTCTCACTCTCCCTTCCTCTCTCTCTCTCTCTCAGAATCAACAAAAATATTTTAAAAAATAACTGCCATTTGGTTACGAATGCACAATATAAAAAGAGAATTTAGGTTAAAATCATAAAAGGGGAGGCAGTAAAAGACTGGACAGGTACAGTTGAATGAAGATAAAAGACAATCAGAAGAGAAAGGACTATTTGTATGTCTGAGACATTTACACATATGTAATGGTAACCGCAAAACTAAATCCAGAGCTGAGACATGAAATGTACAAAAAGTAATGTGAAAGACTGGGCAGAAATTGCTTACAGAGGTATAAAAAATGTCTACTTGCTCCTTTACTATTTGAAGGTATTCTTTAATATATTAGTTCATTTAGAGCTATATTACACATCAGTGGTTCTTGAGTTTTCAGGTACTTTAATTATGCAAATGTTTATAGTATCCTTAGACTATCTATTAAGCTTCATATAAAATATCTGCAAAGGCTCTTTTTTTATTTTTAATCCTCACCTGAGGATATTCCTCCAATGATTTCTAGAGAGAGTGGAAGGGAAGAGAGAGAGAAACATGGATGTGACAGGGACACATTGATTGGTTGTCTCCTGCATGCACCCAGGAAACATGCCCTTGACCAGGAAGAACTCGAGACCCCTCGGCCCACAGGCTGACGCTTTAACCATTGAGAAAACCGTCCAAGGCTCTGCAAAGGCTCTTTTATCTTTGGTATGAATTCTAGCAACAACCACTCATTGAATTATAAACATAATACAGGGGTGAGGGGGGGAGAGATTAACCAAATAATTTACAAGCATATATGCATAACCCATGAACTCTGACAACAGTGTGGTGAAGGCCTGGCGGAAGGAGGTCAATGGGAAAAAAGGGGACATCTGTAATACTTTCAATAATTAAAGATAAATTTTTAAAAACCCCACATAATACAGAACAGTCTTGTGGATATAAAATCATCCCTGCTTGCTGAAATCAAGTGTTAGCATAGGCGATGAGCTACAACTTGGAGACTTAACAAAGGCTATTTTCTGCACACTTTTTCTAGGCAGTAGGTAACCCAGGGAATGCTGTTATGAGGTAGTTCAGTATCATTTCCCCCTAATTTAATAGTAGTAGAGAATGAAATGAGGTGGTTCAACTAAGCTTGCAGGAAAATCAAGAACCCCCACCCCTAAGTGATCTCTGGATTCCCCGTGTGATGAATTTGCTGACTCTCTTTGGTGCTCTCCCTTTAGGCACAGGGACAGTTTTCATTGACACAAAAAGCAGTGCTGACTGTGATCTTGCAAGTGCTGCACCATTCTCAATTATTCTCCGTGGCTAAGCTTTTGTCAAAGACCACGCTACTTTGTCCTGAGCCCCTCTGAGGACATCATGACTTCCTCTTTTATCTTCACACAGAAATGCAATGTTTGGGCAAGAAAGGGAAAAGTAAAGTAAGGAGCATGAAAGAGCGTGCAAGGGACAGCAAGGATAGCAAGGACTGGGGACGCTTCATCAAGGCCCCGAGAATGGTTCTTCACAGGGATGCTCATTGCTTTAGTTAAGAGTACAGTGAAATTCCAGAACATTGGCCAAATTCTAGTCTGACCTAGTGTAAAATGGCATGCTGAAGCAAAATACATTTCCTCCCAAGCAATTTGCTGTTAAAAATTATTCATGCCATTGATGTGGACATTACGGCCAAACTACAATATGCTTTACATTTCCAATGTAGAAAGTTTGGTTCCTGAGTCCTGGTCCTGAAGATGGCAAATCTAAATGATAAATAAATAAATATGTCATTTATTCGAATAGACTGAGCAACTCATTGAAGTGGTATTTGGATGATGGGAGGAAAAATGCTACAGCAGAATTATTGTAAGAACTTTAGAATATGCTCTGACATGCATATATTAAAATTTAGTAAAAAGAATCTCAGTTTAACAGCTTTGGTCTACTACTTGAGGGGTGAGTAAGGGGAGGAAATACATAGACTATGTTTGATATGTGCCTGATTCCTAATTAGGTTCTTTCCTCCTTAGCAAGGTATATATTAGTGCAAAATTTTAGTACTGAGTAGACCAAAATACTACATCTACATAATAAGAATGAAGTTAATAAACCAGTCAATAAACCAGTAAATCTTATGTTGCATGAATGTGAAATTTTTGCTGCATCACTCAGCAAAAATTATTTTTCAAGTTTGTTTTTCTTTCACATAATGCATTTATTTCCCTTTGCTTTAACCGTGGGTATTTTAACATAAGCTATTTTAAGTGTCAACTTTAATCCTCAATAGCTTCAATCCATTCTATTAGTTAAAATAAACTCAGGCAGACATTAATCCAATTTGAATAACTACATATGAATGAGGCTACAGTACTATCTAATCCGAAGTGTAACTCAATTTCATTCAAGGCTTCTCATGCATGAATACAAAAATACTTTATTTTCAGATGCTTTCATTTTAAGGTACTCCCCGGAAAGGGATGTCAAAAAGTATTCAATAAAGGAGGTTTCAGACTTTCTGTTGGGCTATGATTTGAGGGGGAGAGGAGTGGAAATGACTAGTGATGATTCCATACTGGAAATCTGTGGTAACATGTGAAAGTATAAATTAACTACGATGGACTCATTATTCCCTGAATCTTTTGGTGTGAAATGGTATATTGTTGTTATTTTCAAAAGCTATTCTGCTTTTATTAAAATGCGACAAGCAGTCACTGCGCACTTACTGTATCACTTATTATGATGTCCAGTTAATTTGTCCCTAACAAAGCCACAGATGATCTCCTCTTCCTCTGTGGCTGTAGGTGCATGTTTGGAGCTGTGTGCACGCTCTGGGTTAGTTTGCTTTGAAGCAGCCCCGAGGAGTCTCATCCAGTTTTTAGCAGTTGGCTGGTTTTGTAAAGCAACTCAGCACTCCCGGGTCTGCCAGAAGCAGTGCTTTGAAGTTTCATTTTCTTGATGGATATTGCTTTGCTCATCCAGTGAAGACTTTGGGTATAAACACAGAGTTTCTAACAGCTCTGCCGAAACTGCGCTTTGGTCTCTAGACGTCCTTGTCCTGAGGAATTGAGCCAGCCACCTGGCCTGCATTCTTCATGACTGAGGTTATCTCAAAACAGAAACGGCAGGAAGGCTTTCCTATGCTTTGGGTAGGAGGCAAATTTGCTTTTGTAAAACTTGTGGCTGAGGAAAGCTGCCAGAGCCTGGCTGAAGAAGACGTATGTTACCACCAGCCACCAAGTTATGTTATGGAATCCCAAGGTGACGGCCATGGAGACGTAGATCATCAGCTCTGCTAAGTAGTTAGGGGAGGAAACATAGTCAAACCAGTCTCCAAAGGGGATGCGGTGGTTACAGTGAATGATCACTCCTGAAATGAAAAAAGAAAACTTCCTGAACGTCTGAAGCTGTGAAAAGAAGGTTCTACCATATCACCCTCCCCCCACCCCAAATCATTTACAAAAACTCCTATTAGAAAAGAGTATGACAGACATGCGTGCAAAACACCCTCCTGCCACACTTCCATTGCCAGTCTACTGTGTATTAGAGCTACATGCTCAGGTCACACGATCAACTATAAATAAGCACAGGAGAACCTGTTACGCCAACAGTCCTCCAAGCTGGAAATGAAGAGCTCAGACTCCACAAAGCCTAGAGAAAGATCCTCTTCTCTTCTGCCTGCCTGTTGTCATGTCGGTAGCCTGTGCAGAGCCCTCTGAAGCTGTGGCCGCCTTCTTTCTCTCACGGGGAGGAGAGCATGCACCCTGGGCAGCCTTTACCCAAGTTCAGTGTCCAGCAGGCCGGACTGTAGGTGTCTCCTTGGGGCCCTGCACTGAGTATGAACTGCTGCAGCAGGAGTCATGGCAGGACAGGCATTCAGAAAGTTTCTTCCCCGCTCTGACCCAGTATTAGCTGAAAGGAGTGCTGCAGAAACTGTAACCAAAGGAGGCATTATGCTCCCAGAAAAATCTCAAGGAAAAACAATGCAAGCAGCAGTAGTGGCTATTGGATCAGGCTCCAAAAGAAAGGATGGAGAGACTCGACCAGTTTGTGTCAAAGTTGGAGACAAAGTTCTTCCAGAATGGGGAGGCACCAAGGTAGTTCTAAACAACAAGGATTATTTTTTATTTAGAGGTGGTGACATTCTTGGAAGGTACACAGACTGAAATAAATCACTTGAAATGGTATCGTGTGAAGCTGCCCATTTCACTGACGTTCTGAAATATTTCATCACATAAATAATTTCTGTGTCTCTTTTATAATAAACTAACGATATACAAAAACTGGCATGCAGTGTCTCTTAAAATTTAGTTTCACTGTAATGACATAAACATTAAAAAAAAGGGCTCAGACTCCAGAGTGAGACTGCACAAGTCCAAACCCAGGCTTTACACCTACTGGCTGTTACCACTAGCCACCAAGTTATGTTATGGAGTCCCAAGGTGATGGCCATGGGGACTTTAGATAAGTTGCTTAACCTCTCTGTGCCTCAGTTTCCTCATCTGTAAAATGGAGATAAAACTGTACCCACCTCAAGTGAGCATTTGTGAAGCTATATGTAAAACCAAGTAGGGCCTGGCACAAAATAAGCACTCAATAAATGCTGAATAATACTCTTCCATTTTTAATATTTCAAAAAGCCTAATAAAAACTGTACCTGTGATAAGTTAACACAAGTTTTAAAACTAGTAAAAAAGTCAAGAGTTTTGGCTGGGATGATACTAACTCAGCATGGTCATACTAGTTCTCACATACTGGTCAGACACATATATGCAGTGCAGGCCCTAAATGGTGGGTACAGAATCTATAATAATAAAATCATAATATGCTAATTAGACCAGACAGCCGAACGACCATCCAGACATCATTCTGGACGTCCTTCCAGACAAAGCCGTGGGCCACGGCAGGGGCCGAGGCAGAAGTGGTTAGGGGTGATCAGGCAGGCAGGTGAGTGGTTAGGGGCATGAGGCAGGCAGGCAGAATGGTTAAGGGTGATCAGGCAGGCAAGCAGTTAGGGGTGATGAGGCAGGCAAGCAGTTAGGGGCGATCAGGCAAGCAGGCGAGTGGTTAAGGGCAATCAGGCAGGCAGGTGAGCAGTTAGCGGTGATCAGGCAGGCAGGCAAGCAGTTAGGAGAGATCAGGCAGGCAGGTGAGCAGTAAGGGGCATCAGGCAGGCAGGCAGAGTGGTTAAGGGTGATCAGGCAGGAGAGCAGTTAGGGGCGATGAGGCAGGCAGGCAAGCTGTTAGGAGCCAGTGGTCCCAAATTGCGAGAGGGTGCAGGCCGGGCTGAGGGACACTCCCCCACCCCCGTGCACGAATTTCATGCACCAGGCCTCTAGTAGAATCATAAATACCAGGACTAGTGGGGCCAGAGAGAACTCTCAGTCTAATGCTCTCATTTCACAGACGGGAAGATCAAGACCCAGAGAGATGTCTTACCAAAAATGAATATTTGATCCATTAGTCACCTAATGAGGGCAGGAAGGAAAAGGATGAAAGTACATGGACCATTAACTTCCGAGTATTAAAATCCATATGCAGTGGCTCGAAAAGATGTCTTACCTGCTTTATTTTTCCTGAGATTGCCGAGAATGACGTGGCACTTATACTGATGGACCGACGACCAGATGAACATCATCACACCGAGGATATGGAACCACCGAGTTTGCATCAAGAGATTTTTCCCTACCACATAGACTGCAGAAATAAGAATTGTGTTATTGGCCAATGCTGCAAAATTTCAGAGGCTCGGGGAACTGAAAAATCACACAGTCAGCAGAACACACTCATCCACTTATTCTGTTCCTCATGGCTATAAAACTATGCTGATAGAATTTCCCAAGTACAGGAGGAAGAACACCAAAGCAGACTTGTTCCTCAGCCAGGGGCAGCTTCAATGGCACCTGGCAGAAAATTCCACAACGATACATTCTCTTGTTCCTTCCTCAAATGCTTTAAGCACAGAGTTCAGCTCTATCTCCTACTCTTGTGATGTATTCTCGTGTGGTGCGACAACCTTGCTAATTTCCAAGCCTGGATTAATGCCTCCTTTCTTATATTCTACTGTCAGAAAAACACTTTCTGACACCTTTCCCTGAGCTGCTATCCTAAGCCATTGCTAGGGAGACCCTGAAGGCAGAATGCTGACTTGATGGGCTCCAGTCAATCAAGAAAACTACTGCAAGTGAAGGCCCAGGGTGGGGGCTTCCCACAAAGAGGAGAAAAGTCAACTCCAAGATGGAAAACAAAACAGTATCCCTTTCTGATTAGACAGAACCTAGTCAGAGAGATTTCGTTTTAGGAAAAGAAGTACTCAGAGTATTATCTCCTCTCTTCTCCAGCTATGTGGAAGAAGAGAAGAATGCAGAGCTCTTAAGTACTGGCATCAGAAAAACAAATTAAGGACTTCCCTATGATCAGCAGGAAGCAGTCGGGGTGGTCGGGGACTTGGCTCAAGAAACAGAGTTGTCCATTGATAACAGGGACCAACCAGCCTGAGGCTCTGGAGCCAAGAGGGAGCCCGCTACAAAGCTGATTCAGGCAAGAGAAGAAGGATCATGCTATTCCATGTGGGTGCCTCGGAGTAGGACTTCGAGATGACAGCTAGTGACTAAGGAAAGTCCACCAAAGTCTACCTGTGTTGATTTCTTTTAAACCTGGTTCTATATAAACAATCTACTTACTTAGAGTCTCTTAATATTCACTAGGCTTAACCATATAACTAAAAAGTTATTTTTTATAAGTAAAAAGTAAGCAAAATATGAAAAATTCAGTTTTTAATCAAAAGGGCTTTCAGAACAAGTCACTATAGAATTAAACGTTGAAGCAAATGTCTGGGAATTCACATCACTACCCAGTCACCTACTCTAAATGCCGAGAAACTACCTGGGAGGGAAAAAAGATTTGTAAGAGTAAGCTGGAATTATCATGCAGGAAAGGGGAAGGCTCCTATTTACTGAGCATCTTATCTGTGTAGCATTTAATCATTCATTTATTTGTTACTTAATGGTGTTGACTGAGCTTGGAACTGTTGTGGATGTGAGGCATAAAACAGTGAATACATCAGGCAAGATCCCAGTCCTCATACATTCACAGTCCAGTGGCAGCTGCCACTAGAATCGAGTAAACAAATCAATAGCCCAGGTAATTTCAGGTAGAGATAGTACTCTGAAGAAAAGAAAATAGAACTGTGTGATCACAGTGACTGGGGGAGAGTCTCTAGACTTGAAGACAAGGAGGTGTGGAGATCTGGGTAGTTGAGAGATATTCTTTCTTTTCACTTTCACACCAATCCTCTGAAATCTGTAAATATCCCTGATTTCAGATGAAGGTTCGAGGCTAAGAGAAGTTAAATAAGCCAGGCTCGGATTCAGGTCCATCTAACCCCAAGCCCATTTCTATTGGACCCCGCAGCTGACAAATGCCCCAGTGTATTCTCTCTCAATGAATTCCTGAGATCAGTTCTCCCCATATTGTCCCATATGAAGGACAAATAGATGAAACAAAAGACAGCTGCAGAAGGGAGTATCAGGAAAGCTTGTTGTGGGTGCCACGGCTGCCTTCTCTTCATTAGTTACACCGGAGTGAGGGCAGAAGGTGGGGCCCGGCCACCAGAGAAAACTCCAGAAGAGACAGGTGCTGCCAATGGGAACGAAGCAACTGAAAGCTGGCGCGTTACCAAAGTCCTTAGACAAGTTCCTTGGGGTGGAAAACCCATACTGTACACCCAGGAATGACAGCGCAAGCCTTGATACTGGACTGCACAAGAATACCACAGCAGAAAGCTCAGGGAGGAAGAACATACTTCGGTTCAGAGCACTTAGTGGAGAGATGCTAGCGGAGTAGCTGAAGCCGATAAATAATTCATGAATTGAGAAACAGCCTCAATAACATGTACTTGAAAACCATTCCTCATGCCATGGAGGCCTGAGTTGTAGGGGCACGCTGATACCGAATCAAACCTGAGGAGAAAACGCCCTCGCTGAGGGTTGGAAACGTCTCAGGGGTGGGCAGACTTTTTGACTCGAGGGCCACAATGGGTTCTTAAACGGACCGGAGGGCCGGAACAAAAGCATGGATGGGGTGTTTGTGTGAACTAATATAAATTCAAAGTAAACATCATTACATAAAAGGGTACGGTCTTTTTTTTTTTTTAGTTTTATCCATTTCAAACGGGCCGGATCCGGCCCGCGGGCCGTAGTTTGCCCACGGCTGATCTTGGTCTCAGTTTTCGAGGATGAATGTATGAAGCCTTGGACCGAGAGACAACAGTCATGAGCGATCTACCCGACAGTGCCTGGGCTGCAAGGTGAAGTTAACCTCAGTCCTAAAGATTCATTTCAGTCACCACAAACAACTTGATTCCTTACAGTAAGCACGTATTGTTTTCACAAAAACGACAGTCATATATGCTAGATATTCACCTCCTCCCCACAAAATAAAACCCACTTCACTTCCTCCTCACAAACAAAAGTCATGATTCTGGTTCCCCCTTCCTGGTTAGTAAGAGGTCAGACTTGTTAAGACGCAGTTCTGATTTACCACAGTACTCCGCTGTCCTCGCCCCACGGCATCCTTGTAAACTGAGATCAACGGCACAGTCCCAAGACCTAAACGGCAAAGAAATGGCTCCCTGCTCCCTCTTCACATCACAAGGATCCACCCCGAGTCAGGCCGCCCGCTCCTCCTCTGGTTTTCTATGGTCAAATCCTGCGCCGCAACTTCCCCTTCCCCAGCCTCACCCCTCACCTTCCCACACAAACAGGAAGGCTGAGGCTCTGGGGAAGCCACTGTCTTTGCTGACCCTTTTCCCTGTTTGTGGGTGATCCTGCTCCCTGTTCATCTCTGGACCACACTCCTCCTCTGTCTCCAGACTTACTCCACGTGAGTTCACTGCCTCACCCCCACTGAGGGAAGCCTCACGTCCCATTTCTTCTGACCCTCCTGAATACTTCGCCCTTTACCGTCTTTACTGAAGACGTTATGGACTGGGCAGGCCTCCTGCTCTCCAACTTCCATGGCCCCCGGTGACTCAGGTAACAGTGCCCAGGGACCACTCACCATTCCTGCCGTCCATCGGCACTTGGCTCAGCACAGTTAGGCCGACGAGGACGTAGTAGACGAGTCCAAAGCAGTACTGCGCGATGTGAATCACAGCGTTGGAAAAGACACTGACATAGAGGCACTCGAAGAGTCTCCGCAAGCTGTGCAGCCACAGAAACACCAGTACTAAGAATGCAGACAGCGCCAACTCACCCCCTGCGATTCAGAAAGCAGCACATTCAGCATGTCTCTCTTCGGAGTTAGGCCAGTACTATACATTCCTACGGTTACACATAGTAGTAAACAAAAGTAGAGCTAGGAAAGGGCCTAGAAATCATCCAGTCTAACGCTCCCCTGCTTTTCTTAGCAGCGGGGAGTGGGCCATGTGAAGTCAACAGATTTGGCTCAAGGTTACAGTGAGCTAGTGACAGAGCTGGACAAACTCAGGTCTCCTGACTCAGCTTCACCCTGTGAAAGCCTTTGAGATGGCGTGGTCCTCACTGTGAAGGGGCCTGTGCTCACAAACAGGGTCTCGGGTCCCGGGTCCCGGGCACTAATAATAATGAAGACAGGAAGAGTTCCGGGGAGACCTCTGAGCAGCCCCAGCTGGGGGGATCCCTGGGGTTCGGGGAGACAAGAGACAGGCACCCACAGAGGCAGAAAGGAGGGCAGGAACTGAGACAGGAAGAATTAAGCATTCCTTTCCATGTTAAAAAAAAAAAAGAAATTATACTTTTAGGAGACTGTAATCCCCGAGATCTACCTTCCTACCTGCCTTTCACTCCTCTACCCCAAAAGAAGTAAGAAGAAATGCCGGTTTTAAAAATGACATAAACCCAGCCGGCGGGGCTCAGTGGTTGAGTGTCAACCTAAGAACCAGGAGGTCACGGTTTGATTCCTGGTCAGAGCACATGTCCAGGTTGAGGGCTTGACCCCCAGTTGGGGGCTTGTAGGAGGCAGCCAATCAATGATTCTCTCTCATCATTGATGTTTCTATCTCTCTCTCCCTCTCCCTTCCTCTCTGAAATCAATAAAAATATATTTTAAAAATATCTTCAGAAAAACAAAAACAAAATAAAGAGATGAGTTTGAATGTGTGAAGCGGGACTCAGTGAGGTGCCCTCCCCTCCCAAACAGGAACTGCATGTGCTTTTCCTTCTGACCGTCATCTTTTGCAACAGGTTCCTCTGGTCACACAGAAAGGGATTGTTCCTGGGGAGCCAGTGGCTTGGCTGCTGAGCAGAGCCAGCACCAGAACAATGTTCCTACTTCTGCCCCTCTCCCCGCCTGACATGCACTGAGGCCACTTTGTTTTCACCTTCAGCTCTTTCTTTTAAAATTGTTCTTTATCTGAGGCAAATGTAATGTCTGTTTTGTAATCATTTGGTCAATGTCTTTACAGTCAATTTTATCAGGAAACCAAAGCCTTATGCTATAACAGTTGTAACCAGTGATCAAAAAGTAATTTTCCAGCACGTTTCTGGAGTTCTGAGACACGGTTTTGGTTGGACGGTATAAATGTTTCAAGGCAAACACAAGGGAATCCTAAAAGCTTTTCTCCTAAGTCTAAAGACGTCTATGTAAATTTACCAACAGTACAAACAGTATCAGAGGGAGAGCAGCCAGTCCGTACACCACCCAGCAACTGCTGTGGAGTCGGGGATGAAGAGCTAACTCTCAGCTCTGCCAAGATCTCAGTGAAAGACTTGGGAGCATCCCCACGGGGATGGGTATGACGAGGCAGAACTCTTTTTGCTCACAGTGGCTATGAAATACCAAGAACAGCTTCCTGCAGGCAGGAAAGGTAGGAACAGGATGCAATGGTTGTGATTACCGCGGAATTGCACAGCCCCAAGAATTCTGAGTAAAGTGTACAGCCAGTCTGGAAAAGGCGCTCCCAGGAACAGGCATTGAGTAAGGCACCAAAGCAGGAAGCCATTCCACAGCACTGAGATGACATAGAAATGAGAAAAGTACCTGCAAAGGGAAAACAAGTTAGGCAATTGTCAGGATAGAGCCCCTTTATTACACAGAAAGACTATTATTATTATTATTATTATTATTATTTTATTGTCTAAAGTTTTACATGTCTCCTTTTTCCCCAATTGACCCCCCCCCCCCCCGCAGCCATTCCCACCCCAGGCAAGCCCCCACCGCCCCAGTGTCTTTGTCCATTGGTAAGACTATTTTTTAGTGCCCTTCTCTTCTCTCCCCCCATCCTCAGAGTCTAGTTCAGTGATGGCGAACCTTTTGAGCTCGGTGTGTCAGCATTTTGAAAAACCCTAACTTAACTCTGGTGCTGTGTCACATATAGAAATTTTTTGATATTTGCAACCATAGTAAAACAAAGATTTATATTTTTGATATTTATTTTATATATTTAAATGCCATTTAACAAGGAAAAATCAACCAAAAAAATGAGTTCACGTGTCACCTCTGACACGGGTGTCATAGGTTCTCCATCACTGATCTAGTTACTCTTTTTAATAGAACCTGAATCCTACAGGTGTTCAGATTTCAAAACTTCCTTTCAAATGATGGGACCGGTGAACTCAGAAGAAAAAGTGGCCTCCTGAGGTTAACAAGAATATGATAGACGCTGTTAAACTTAGACTGAGGTTGTTAGTAAGCTCTCTTTCCTCTGGGTAACTGGATTCGGCTCAAGTTCCAAAGTAGTTCCTGGATTGTGCTAAATGCAAGCCAAATCTGTGAGATTTCTAAATCTGGAGCAGTGTTACTGCAATAGCCATACGACTGTTACACAAGATTTACACAATTACAGGCGCTCAGGGCTGTTAAGAAACCTTAGAGGTCTTCCGATTCAGTCTTCTAGACTGTGTTGACCTAAATTACTTAGATGACAAATATTAAGTCATACAACTAGGTATCAACTCCTGAGGGTTACAGCTCTCATATAATTACAATGCTTATTTTGCAATCAACAGTTACAAATGAAATACAAATAAAACCACAAAACCAATAAAAATTACAATTAGCAATGTTAATTTGATGTGAAAGATGATGTTGGTTTGATGAAATGAAATCACCTAATATGGCACAAGGGCCTAATGGTTTCTTTGTTGGTCCACTTACTATTTTTCTCCATCCAAACCAATTCAGAATCATTCTGACTTTGCAAGGTGCCTGGTGGTCATTTGGCCTTCCCTGGTCTTCAGTGATCATGTATATAGTAAGCCCCCTTCCCTCTTGTCTCATTAGACTGTGACAAAGTAAGATGACCTGGAGTCAGGAGGATTAAACATAAACCCAGGGACTCCTCTTCCAGATGATCCAGAATATTCTGCGCACCAGAACTCAGTGCACCCAGACCATGCCCACAACCCCGTCTGCCTAACAATGACCTAATCCGATCATTCCACAGTAACCCTCTTAATTCTCCCAACTACTGTTACAGACTCTCTATCACTGGACCTGCCCTCTCTGAGCCGTCCAGTTCCTAATTCTGATCTTCTCCAGGCTCACGAGCTTAGTTTCTTCAAATGCTCATGCATCAGTGTTAATTTCACAACCCCCTCCACCCTGCAGGCCCCTGGCCTTTGGTTGCCTTCCAGCGTTTTCCTTAAGATGCACTTTCTAGTCGTCGTCCTAATACATCAAGGTTGCAGGTTCAATCTCTAATCAGGGCACATAAAAGAAGCAACCAATGAATGCATAAATGAGTGGAACAGTACATCAATATTTCCCTCTCTTTATCTCTCTCTTCCTCTTTCTCTCTAAAAATTAAAACAAAACAAAAGACACACTTCCTAGAAGCGAGCCCAGGTCTGGTCTGAGGCAGGAGCAGAGCAGATGGCAGCAGCACCTTGCCCTGCAGGCTCCCACGGAAGGGGAGGGGTCTGCTCTCGAGGAGCAGCTTTACCTATTTCATTTTTTCACAAATATTTACCGAGCACTTAACACATGCCAGGTACCGTTGCTGGAGCGGGGCACTCAGCAGGGAGCGATCAGACCAGGTCCCTGCCTTGATGAAGTTTACCTTTCAGTGGTCAGTCCACAAAAGAGCCTGTGGACATCCAGGTAATGCTGGGTGATGGCACAGAGGGGAGGTCACCCTGGACAGATGGTCAGGGATGGCCTCTCTCAAGGTGGCATTTGGCTAGAATGAGTAACCCTTGTGCATTTGAGGGGGAAGAACTTTCCAGGCAGAGGAAATGACAACCACCAAGGCCCCGAGGAGCAGTGAAGGACACCTGTGTGGAGAGGGCTAGATGGGGAGGGGGAGAGCACACATGCTACAGGGTCTTGTAAGGACCTTGACTTTTATTAAGTGTGTGTGGTGGGGGGAGGGGTGACCTGAAGTAGAGTGACCTGAAGTAATAACTTATGTTTTTAAAAATCCCTCTGGCTGACAGGAAAGTTCTGGAAGCTGATAGTGGTGATGGTTGCCCAAACATGTGAATGTACTTAAAGCCACTAAGGCATACACTCAAAAAGGATTAAAACGGTAAATACTATGTCATGTACATTTTACCACAATAAGAAAGAGCACTATTCATTCATTTCACGGTTCTTTAAGTTTAGAAAACAAAACAGAAGAACATCCCTCTGGAAACCAGGCAGAGAATAGTCTAGTCTGGGGGAGACCAGTTAAGATGATTTCACTTCATCTTCACAGCAATCCTATACAGTTGATGTGGCCGATGAGAAACCTCCGGCTCAGGAAGGTTAAGGTCCTTACCCACAGTCACACAGTGAGTGGCAGGGTTTGCTCAGACCCAGCCCTGAGGCCTGAAGGTAGTCACACTGCAGTACTCCTATTCATGCAGTTCAGACCAGCCTGAGCCTGCTTTCCTGGCCCTGCATTACACATACCCACCTATACCTCGGCTAACGCCAGCCAAACCACTCGAGCATGTTGGTATAAGCTGCTAAGCCACATCTTGCTGTGCCCTACTTATGCCATGGTGTTCCTGATGCACAGGCAGCCTGTTTTTCCTACTCCTGCATTTTGTACATTCTAGTGCTTGTTTTGCTTGCCTGATTTCCCTCTAGAGAAAACATGTTCTACTTTTGATGAGGTTATATCCCTTGCTATTTTTTTTTTTTTTTTTTTTACTAGTAAAAGACCCAGCTCTAGCCTCTTTTTCCTCCCTTGGCACTTTGCTTAACTGAAGCACTGTTTTCCTAGCCCTTGGGAACATGGATAAGATGATCCTTATGGTAACCCAGGGCTTAACACTGAGCAAGCACTCCTTTGATTTAGCACATATTTTCGTGCTTATTATAAGCCAGGGACTGCTCTAGGCTCTGGGTATACAACAATGAACACAGGAGACAACAATTCCTTCCTCTATGGAGCTTATACTCCCACACAAAGTAAGTTTTACAGCATGCCAGTAGGTGGTAATGATTACTGAACAGAGTAAAGCCGGGAAGAGAAGAAGGGATGCTAGGATGATAGAATATACTTTTAAACAGGATGGGCAGGGCACACCTCATTGAAAAAGTATTTGAGCAGGATTATAGGAAGTGAGAGCATAAACCATGTCGCTAGTTGGGGGCAATGCTTCCCAGTTAGAGCAAACAGGCAGTGCAAAGGCCCTGAGGTAGAGAGAGGACTAGCAAAGAGGCCCATAAAACGGGACTGGAGCCACATGGTGGGTGGGTGGGTGGGGCGGGGGTGCGGAGAGAATAAACTACAAGAAACAAAGTCAGTGAGGTGGTGGGGACAAGGGTCTTGGGCTCTTCCTGTGAGCTGGAAGCCACTGAGTGGTTTTGGACAAGGAGACATGATCTGATTTAATACATATTTGCTGACTGCCAGAACTGATGCCAGGCCCAGAGTGGGGTTAAGGGATTGACTAAGAAAGGAAACGAATGTTCCTCTGACTAAGGCCCTGGCCCTGGGCTAAGTGCTTTAATGTCATCTCCACCTACAGGACAAGCAGGTGCTATTATGCTAACACTCTAATCCATATATCACCTCTTGACTGGACCCCATAATAACCTCTTACGCAGTCTTTTCCACACAACAGCTAGTCATCCTTTCAAAACATAAATCACTTCTGGGAATATGTCTGAAGAAACTGGAAACACTAATTCAAAAGAATAAATGTACCCCGATGTTCATAGCAGCGTTATTTACAATAAACAAGATATGGAAGCAGCCCAAGTTTCCATCAGTAGATGACTGGATAAAAAAAAAAAAACTGTGGCACATTTACACAACGGGATATTTACTACCCGGCGGTAAAAAAGAAGGAAATTTTAACCTTTTGCGACAGCATGGATGGACTTGGAGAGCATTATGCTAGTGAAATAAGCCAGTCGGAGAAAGACAAGCACTGTACCATATGATTCCACTCATATGTGGAATCTAATGAACAAAATAAACTAACAAAATAGAAACAGACTCATAGAGACATAGAACAGACTGACAGCTGTGAGAGGGGAGGGTGTTTAGGGGACTGGGTGAGAAAGGTGAAGGGATTAAGAAAAAAACAAACATAAATCACATAATGCCATGCTCCCTTCCTCACCCTAAAGCCATAAATGGCTTTCCGTACACGCCAAATAAAAGCTAATCGCCACGGAGGCCTGTAAGGCTCTGTGGAGCAGTGAACTCATCTCCTGCCCCACCCCTAGGATCATTCTTTCAGCTTTGTCGCTGCCACCCCCACCAGTCCAGCTCTGGATCAAGTAACCCTGCTGGGTTCCTCTGAAGCACTTATTAACTCCTGAAATTATTTTGCTTGTTTTACAAGATTTGTTTATATATTTACTGTATGTCTTACAAGAACAAAAGCTCCAAGGAGCCTAAAATAGCTCCTGGCATACAGTAGTTCTCTATAAATACTAGTTAAAAATGAAAGAGAAGATACCTCTCTCATCTAAAGTCTCTCTCAGAGCAAGCACCCAAGTTAACTAATAATCTGACTCAACCTAAAACCTTTTTAAAAAAATCTTTCACAAGATATTGATCAAGGACCTTATTATTTGTCAGGCACTGAATCAGGAATATGGTTACAAACAAGACAAATTTAACGCATGGAAAATGTAGAGTCTAGAGCAGGGGTTCTCAACATTTTTCTTCCATGAACTGACTCCTTTGGCAGTATGATGACGGCTATAGGCCCCCTTTCAAAATGTTATGACAAGCATAAAATATGTGGGGATTACAAAGGAAACCAAATGTATGGAAATATAGGTACCACCACTACTAAAAAACAAGTCTTTGATATAGTAATAATTGTGTTTCTTAACTAATGTAACAAATAACAAGATCTGGTGGGAAATAACTACAGTATCCTTGCAGTGATGAAAATAATGTTTTGAGGTCTCCAATATTTCTAATGGAATATAAAAAACTCCTATTTCTCTACCACCTAGAAATGTTTGGCTGACTCTTACCAGCTATGTTCTGAGTTCAAAAGAAAAAGAAAAACAAACCCCAAACCAAAAAAATCAAACTATATCTTTTACAATTTCTGAAAGAATTCTATTTAAGTCCCAACACTGTAATCTTTCATTGATTTTGGTTAGGAAATCTATTAAAATTCAAATGGAGCTTCGGGATCAGGTTTGCCTAACAGGTACCATCATAGACAGTTGTCTCCAGGGGCACCTGCCCAGGTGCGGGTTAGGAGGGTCAGTGCAGCCGAAGGAGGTGGCGCCAAGCGTGGGGACCAGCATCTCGCCCTTCCTCCAGGCTACTGGGGTGGAGGGCAGGGGAAAAAATGGAAACAGAGGCGCAAAGGGCCGGCCTGCCTTCATTTCTGGTGAGTTCTGGGCACCTCAAGTAGACTGCAAGCCCCTAGCAGTGGTTCTCAACCTTCTGGCCCAGCTGTGGGCAAACTACGGCCCATGGGCCGGATCCGGCCTGTTTGAAATGAATAAAACTAAAAAAAAAAAAAAGGGGCCGTACCCTTTTATGTAATGATGTTTACTTTGAATTTATATTAGTTCACACAAACACTCCATCCATGCTTTTGTTCCGGCCCTCCGGTCCAGTTTAAGAACCCATTGTGGCCCTCAAGTCAAAAAGTTTGCCCACCCCTGTAATCTGGCCCTTTAAATACAGTTCCTCATGTTGTGACCCAACCATAAAATTATTTTCGTTGCTCCTTCATAACTATAATGTTGCTACTGTTATGAATCCTAATGTAAATATCTGATATGCAGGATGGTCTTAGGCGACCCCTGTGAAAGGGTCTTTCGACCGCCAAAGGGGTCGCGACCCACAGGTTGAGAACCGCTGCGAGTGAGTGCAGGGGAGAGGAAAGGGGGAATCTGGAGAAAAAGGAGACTTTATTTGCCTCCTGGTGACCAGGCCTAAATTCAGAAGCCTTGCCACTTCTCCCAAGGGAGGGACTCCGTGCGGTGCGTCACCAGTTCACGTTCCTGCGCCCCTGATAGTGTCCGCGGCTCGGCTCTCCGGTGTCGGCGGACACTCGGGACGTTTCGCCCCCTGGGCCCCGAAGCGGACGCGCGCGAGCTGGGAGACCCGCCGACCGTGCCGCCTGGGAGAACCAGCCCGGGCCGCCGTGCCTGGGCCGCGCCGCCCCGCGCCCGCCTCTGCTGCCCCCTGCCGGCTGCGCGAGCCGGGCGCCCGGGGATCGAGCCTCGGCCACCCGCACTCAGGCCCGGGGCGCCGTTACCTCTTGGGGACATCAAAGCTCCGGCAGATGGCCGGGCGCGGTGGCGCGCCACACTTGGTTTTCCCATAGCGGATCAGGTCCTGGAAGAGCGCGCAGCTGGGGAGCCAGCGAGGCGGCACGAGCTGCAGCAGCAGGGTCAGCAGGAAAGCGGCGGCCAGCGCGAGCCACACAACGCGTAGGGGGTTCAGCATCCAGAGCGCCGCCCCAGCCCAGGGAGCCATGGCCTGGCCGCTTCCGCGCTCCCAGGGCCCCCGCCTCCAGCGGGCGCGGACCGGCCCCTCGCGCGCCGCGCGCAGGTCTCGGGCGGGCGGGCGGGCGGGACTTCGGTGACGCGGCGCGAGGCGGGGACGCGCTTTGACCCTCCCGGGGCCCTGCGCCGTGCGGGATCCCGGGATTTGTCTCATCTGACTCAGGGATGCCCAAATGCAGCGCCAGAATATGATTCAAATAGCGAAACTAACTAGACCACGTTCCTGCAAGTCTTCATCGCCGCTTTATTTTCAATGGAAGAAATAGAAACGATCCAGTACAATTAAAATAGGAGCCAAGCCAGTCTGTGTGGAAGTAATAAAGAAAACTATACAAATGGTCAATAGGCACATCAGAAAGTCTTAAACATTATCCATCCGAAAAGTGAAAATCTATGTTTCAATGAGTGACAACTTCACAGCCAGTAGGATGGATATAGGCAATAACAAATGTTGTGGAGAAATCAGAACCTTCACATATCTCTGGTTGGAATATAAAATGGAGCATCCATCGGGAAGAATAGGAATTTCCTCAAAAAGCTAAACCTACTGGTACCATTTAATAATTTCACTCTCAGGTATAGAACCACATATGTCTATAGACAAGCCTGACCATGGATGTTCATAGCAGCATCCTATCTAATAAAGAGGGTATATGCTAATTGACTGCCCCACCCTCAAAGATGGCCATGCCCACAGCCAGAAGATGGCCTGCAGGGAAGGGTAGTTGTGGGCGATCAGGCCAGAGGGAAGGGTTGTTAGGGGTTAATGGGCGGGCAGTCAAGGGAGGGCAGTTGGGAGTGATCGGGCTGGCAGGGGAGCAGTTAGGTGTCAATCAGGCTGGCAGGGAAGTGGTTAGGGGGTGATCAGGCTGGCAGACCGAAGCAGTTAGGGGCAACCAGGCTGGCAGGCAGGTGCGGTTGGGAGCCAGCAGTCCCAGATTGTGAGAGGGTCCCAGATTGGAGAGGGTGCAGGCTGGGCTGAGGGACACCCTCTCACCCCCCCCCCCCCCGCCCCTGCACAAATTTCATGCACCGGGACTCTAGTTATTCATAATAGCCAAAAGTGGATACAATTCAAATGTCTAAAATCAAAATGTGGTATATCCTCACAATGGAAAATATTTGGCCATAAGAGGGAATGAAGGACTAATGCATGCTGCAATATGGATGAACCTTACGGAAAACAGTACAAGTAAAAGAAAGCAGTCATAAAAGACCATATAACAACACACTGAGATTTGAAGGGGGATAATTTATACTCCTCTCTTCCTCTCCTAGTGCCCCAATGGCAATCTTACTTGGAACGTCAGACCTGTCCTCTGGAAAAAGCTAGAGCCCGGAATCTGCTGAGCCTCCCAGGCTCAGTTTTGTTTCCCGAATTCAACAAGCACGTGAGTCCTTCTCTCTCTCACAGGGAGGAGTGAAGGGGCCTGGAAAAGATGCCAGATATGGCCATTCCACACTTCTTCTTTATCTTGGTAATCCCTCCAAACACTGCTTGGTGCTAAGTAATGTCTCTACTCCCTAATTTACCCAATATTTATTGAACACCCACCGTAGGCAAAGGGTATAATGCGGACCGTGTAGCCTGGGCTGGATGGCCTCAGGGAACTAACGTTTTGGTTGGGGGATGACAATGCTAAGCATCCGAACAGTTGAACCACCATCAGCCGCTTTCAGTGTTGTGTACTCCAAGTCTTGTCCTGAACTCCTTCCGGCTCCATTTCCACTCATGTGATCTCTTGTCTCAAGGACTGAGATAAGGATGCCAACCTCAACCTTTCCCTTGAGCTCTGTCCTAGTCTATCTACTTTTTCAAGAATGAATATTTTAAAACCATCTTAAATTCATCTCTAAGAGAAATCTCAGATCTTTCCTCTCTTGCTCCCCCCTTCAACCAAATCTACTCATGTCTCAGTTTCACCAGGAACTGATATCTCCATGGCTCAAAAAACTCGAAGTCTTCCCGGACACTACTTCTAATCCACCTGCAAATCCTGCTACTTTTACCTTCAAAATATGTCTAAATTTGATGCCATTTCATTATCTCCAACATATCATCCTGGTCCAAGTCACCATTTCCTGCCTTGATTATTATAACTTTCTAACTCCTGCTTCTGCCTTGGTCCCTATGGTCTGTTTCCAACACAGCAGCTACCTGATATAGTGATTCCTTCTAAAGGAGAAGTCAGATCATGTCACGTCTCTGCTAGACCCTCTAGTGGCTTTTCCTTGTATTGAAAGGCACATTCGAAGTTGTACATGGTCCTATCTGGTCTGGCCCCTCTACCTCTCTGACTTCATCTCCTGCTCTTGCCTGTGTTCACTCCTCTTCCCACATGCACACTGGCCTCTGTGTTGTTCTTCAAGCTGCTAAGCATGCCCCTGCCTTAGGGCCTGTGTACTTTCGTTCCATTTGACCAGGCAGCCCTCTCCCAGATATCTGCATGGCCTCCTCCCTTGCTTTTGTCCAGGTTCCCACTCAAAATGAAGAGAGACCACCCTATATAAAATCGTCTTGCCTTCCTTTGCATTTCCTTCCTTAATATTCTCCACATCACTCATCAGCACCGGATGTACCGCCCTAACCGGTTTGCTCAGTGGATAGAGCATCGGCCTACGTACTGAAGGGTCCCAGGTTCGATTCTGACCAAGGGCATGTACCTTGATTGTGGGCACATCCCCAGTGGGGAGTGTGCAGGAGGCAGCTGATCGATGTTTCTCTCTCATCGATGTTTCTAACTCTCTATCCCTCTCCCCTCCTCTCTGTAAAAAATCAATAAAATATATTTTTTAAAAAAGAACTGGATGTACCATATATTTCATCATTTATGTGTTTATTGTTTGCTTCTTCCATGAGAATAAATGTGCCAGGAGGGCAGGAATTGGTTTATTGGTTATCGTTTTTCTAGTAGCTTTGTCAGTGCCTGGCATATAGGTGCTCAACAAATGTTGAATGAATGAATGAGTCATTCCATATCTACTTAAGATATCAGTAGAAGAAATGTTGTAAGGCAGTACATAATGTCATTGCCAAATTAATGATATATAAGTTAATATTCTGGCCTATTATTTTTATTATTTACCATTCTAATAATTATGTGCAACAGTCATTGTTCATTATTACATATGACAAGCAGGATTGATGTCCTATTATTTTATTTAGGTTAATAACAAAACCTGAAATGAGTAATGGATAAAACATGAGGAAATAGGACAATTGAAAGGAAGAGAGTGGGAGTTAAACTTTCCTTCCTATATGACTTACATCATTTGAAAAAATAATTCCAATAATGCGCTTCCTAGTCTACTTAGTATATTCAATTCATATAACACAGAAATTCATTTCCTACGTTAAATCTACATTTTTCAGTTGGCACACAAAAAAGAGATCTTTTATGAGAGAAAACATTTGGGCCATATGTACAGTGTACTGGAAATTGATTAGGCTTGATTAATCTGTCTTAGTAAAAATCTTTACAAAAATGAGTGAAACTATTTTAACAACCTCTACTCCTTGGAATTACTTGTCAATATTAATTTACCTGGAACCTCCTCTTTCTATGTGATGGATTTTATTTTAATGAGCAAAATTAGTATCTATTTGAAATTTTTCTTAATAATGTGCTTAATTCCAAAGAAATTTTAACCTAAAAGTAGTGCTAATTTTAGCTAGCGTTAAGTACTTAAGTGTTTTCCTGAATTTCTTTACATTGTTACCACACAATGTAAAGGAGGGAACATTTCCTGAGGTTTAGGACCTAATCTATGGAAACTAATCTGTGCATTCAACACACTTATTCAAAGCCTTCCATGTGCTAAACGGATTGTGAGGAGCTGGACTTTCAAAGAATGACTCAGACCCACCCACAAGGAGCTGAGTTACAAAACTGAAATTCCTTCTTTCACCTTCTTACTTATCCTAAAGGAATCAGTCTCTAAATTGTTTTTACTGACTCAGCAACTGACACATTATTGATTCCAGGAATCAAACCCTGCCTTTTTTTTTTTTTTTTTTTTTTAACCACCCAAGGAGGTTATTTGTAGGAATAGTTTAGAAAACACAGGTTTTCTCCATTCTTGTGGAGTAACTTGGTTGCACAAGTGCTAAGGAATACCCTAGAATTCTGTAATAAGTATCCCTGAGGACACTATTTTCTTATCTATTTACAATAGTATGTTTTATTTCCTTGCTAGTGAAGCAGCAGTCTGTTTTATTTTTACTCTACGAGATGGAAGGGTCTGCAGTAGAGGGTGGGGTATGTGGAAGTTTCAAGACCACTGGGGAATCAGGCTTTAGGGCAACCAACCAGATAACCATGAACAAGCCAGGTTACCACCCTGGGCCTCAGTTTATTCATTTGTTAAAAGAGGCGGTTGGATTACACAACAAATCTCAAACTTAATATACATGTCAGTCACCTGGGGATTTTGTTAAAATGCAGTTTCTTATCCAGTAGGTTGGAGATGGGCCTGAGATTCTGCATTTCTAACAAGCTCTCAGGTGGTGAATGCAACCCATGCTGCTTGTCCATGGCCCACATTGTGACTGACAAGGGCGAGATCAGCATTGCCCAATAGGAAGATAATATGAGCTGCACATGTAATTATAAACTTCCAAAAGCCACATTGAAAAGATCAAGATAAAAAGTTAAGAATAATTGTGATAATATATTTTATGTAACTTCATAATAAAAATATTATTTTAATACGTCGTCAATGTAAAAATTATGAATAAGATGTTTTACATTATTTTTTTTCATATTAGGCCTTTGAAATCTGGTATGTTTTACACTTGCCACACATTTCCATCTGGACTAACCACATTTTAAATACTCAGTAGTCACATGTGTGCTACCTACGACTTATACAGGGCTAGACCATCTTTGCAGCTCATTTCAGTGCTAATAACATTCTCCAATTCATAGCTTACATTTCAAATAGACTCCTGCCTCCAGGTGGCGCTAATGT